GAAGGTGTGGACATACTCTCAGTAAACCTAAGCCCAACCATTTTTTCACCTCCCCTGCAAGTTACCATCACAAAGCCAAGGCTTCTATGTCTCCAAACGCTGCATAAACACCAGTATGGATAAGGAGGCCAGGTCCTCAGCTAATTAAATCTGTAATCACTTTGTACTTTAAAAACACAGAGGGGGAGGTGGAGGCATGGCGTGAGGGGGTTGGCTGGTGGTTTAAATGAGGTCCAGTGGACTGTTATTTAATAAAGACAGCTAATTGGGTCAGAGATCTTTATCCTCATAAAGCAATAAGGAGGGTTACTGCAGACCTGCAGCATGAAGGTTTTCCTAAAGGAAGTCTGGAGAGCAGTGAAGAGAGAGAGATAAAAAAAAGAAGAGGAGAACAACCTGATAGTGATGTCAAGGGTACGGCACACATGTGTTTTATTTTCTCTGCGTGGGTTTGATGTCAGTGGTTATGATAGGGGAAGGTAATGATATTCATGACTGAGAGTGCATCCTAATGGAGGACAGAAGGACAGAGCAGAAGTCCATGAACCCATTTTATGTCTTTCATCTCAACTGGAAGGCTCATCCTGCCCTCTAGTGGAAAATGCAGTGAACTACGTCTACATGCTATTCTCTTCTGTCTCACACAACACCCAAAATAAGTCAAGCAAATATCCCCCTCACCATAACTGTTATGGTTGTTATGGCATAACACCACTAGTTAAGTAAGGCAGTTACAACAGGCTTTAGTGCACACTAGTTACTAGGTATGAACTGCACGCACACACCATTAAGCGTATATATATATTTTACCAACAACACGTTTTTTTTTACAGTTAAAAGAGTTACTTAGGCTGTTGTATTGGGAAAGTAGAGAGGTCCAATAGAAAGCGATCAGGATTAGCTACAATAGAGTATTGTCATGTCACATGATCAAACAGAGACGTCAGCAGACGTATTACCCAGCAATCATCAGATCAAAAATACCTAAGAAAATAAGAAATGATGAATTAAAAAAGTTTACATATAGTTTACGTAGAATAAAAATATAATTTTGTTATAGATTGCTACTGACTTGACCAAAAATACTGGAAAACATGACAGAGATGGGTGTGCCTTTTCAAGGGAGCATAGCTACCGAGTTGTTGATGCGAATCAATTCACAACTGCAATCTGGGTCAGAACTATCACTCAACTATACTCTCTGCATGTAGTGTATAGCCCGTTTAATTAATATGCATTCCGTTTTGGGCAGAAATAATAGGCGTCGCTGGCGTCGCTGGTATTTCACCGTGTGCGTCTGTGTGTGTGGCATCCTGGCAAAATGTGGTCCTGGAGACCTGCATGTAGTCCTTTGTCTGTCTGACTGTCTGTCCATCTGTCCATCACAAAACATTACGGGTGTTTAGTAGGTATAAAAACTAAGTCACACACACACACACACACACACACACACGTACACACTTTAGGCCACCACTATACGAGCAACTGTGCCGGAAGTATGGGGGGTAGAAAGTGAAGATAGGGGCCATTGCTTCCCCCAGTTCACATCCCTGGTCCGGCTGGTGTGATCCCATCACAAGAGGGTTTCTAGAATGAAACGCATTTTATGTTTTTATCTATCCTTGTGTGCTGCTGCAACAAACGAGTTTACCCTCTGGGGGTCAACAAAGGTTTATACTATCAGATGTTTTCTTATCGTACATCCTCAATTAAATTACTGAGTGAAAGGAAAGAAGGAGCTCTTCTTCTATTCCGATGACTCGTACAATAAATGAAGTAGAGTCAGTGGTCCGTACAACTTCCCTTTCAGATCTAACCTGTGTGTGTGTGTGTGTGTGTGTGTGTGTGTGTGTGTGTGTGTGTGTTGCTTTACTGTGTGTTGTTTCCTTGTTGTCATTCTGAGTCTTCTTGTACATTCCACCTATTTCAAAGAAAAGGGCCTCGGCAGGTTGTGTATACCTGAATGTATGATTTGTCGATCTCACTTACAGTTGAGTGCCACAAAGGTTCTGGTGTTTTCTCCACAATCTTTTAAAGATGCAACTATGGAGTTCAGACAGTTTTCTTCTTTATTTCACATATCCCCCCCCCCCCCCGTCTGTATATTGCCAATGTCACTGCCTATATCAAATATTGTAAAAAACAAATTGCTGTGTTTGGTCGCCCCACTCGCCCACTGTCACAAGTCACCTTTCTAACTAATGTCTTGTCATCTCCTGCATCTCAGTGGCTGTTGTGTTTTTCTCTCCACCCTTTCAGACACCCACTGGGAACATAACTGCAGGGTTCCTTTCAAGCGAGCGTTACACCAGCTCATTTAGACCAGCTCGTTTCACCTTGAACAAGAGAAGAGGAGAAATAACAATTTAATCTGACCTCCGTAGTGCTGGTTTGGAATGAAAACCCGCAAAACACCAAAAGAGACGGCTATAGATTCCTGCTTTTTAATATTTTATGCACATTTCAGCACAACACCACCAACTAATTTCACTGATTTGTAGTGAAAGTGGTTGATGTTTTGGTTTTCTTATGAAACCCGGCTATTACGCTTGTTAGAATTTGCATTTAAATGAAATTTCCAAAGACCTCACTACAGTGCTACACATTTCCTTTGAGACATGTGACCTACGGCTGAAAGGTAACTTCAAATATCACACTAAATGACAAATCCTTTAATTTTAAGAGATAAATATTGAGTACAATGTTGCAATGATTCCACAAAAGCATTTTCTTTCTTGTTTTTTGTCCGTTTGTGTTTTCTTGGCAATGGCACAGCAGTAAAGATGAGATGGTGGAGGGGCTGATTAGCTGGAAGTGCCCGGGGGAGTTTTAGGGTGTCCAGGGTGATGGAGGTGGCCAATTATTTTCCTGGCCGCACGAAGAAGAGGAGGCCGTGACCCCTGGCCTTCTCAGCAGAATGACTGATGTGCTGCAGTTTGCCCGAGGCTTGGAATGATGCGGCTCCAGTTGTGGAGGAAGTAAAAATCAAGTCAGTTAACTGTTCAACACTGGACTGTGATTGGCAGTGGACAGTAGATTTTCAGCACAGAGGTAGCAGGGCGGATGAGCTCCTAAACAGAAGGGCATGTGTTCAAGCCTCCTGATTGCTGCATCCATAAAATGTCATAAGCCCAGTGTCACTTGCAGCCTTTGGCAATCTGAACCCTGAAACTGGCCCATAATACCTTTCTGATGATTTAGTATTGATTACTGAGAATTAAACATTATGTTTAATTCTCAACACTATGTTTTGGGTTTAGTGTTGTGCTACATTTGTATGGCTTTTATGGCATGAAGTACTTCTGAATATTGTTAATATGGTATGTTATTTGGCCAATGTTTTTCTTTCTATAAGTGGAAATCTACCAAACTCAGGCCAATGACGTGAATTAAAATGTGTTATGTGTGCAAATTAAAGTAAACAAATAAAACTACACACTTTAAGTAGATCAGAATTAGCTGTATCTGTTGAATCATAAAATAATGAGACAAACAGATAATATGATACATAAGTACCAAAGGAAAAATTAAAGGTAGGTTATTTTTTTATTTTTATTTATTATACTATATTGATCCCTTTAAGGGGGAAATTTGTCTCTGCATTTGACCCATCCCTGTATATAGGGAGCCCTATTAATTTATATGACTTATTTGCAACTCTTACAATGCACTATCCGTATGAGAAATAATAACAAATATGTTTTACAATCATCCTGAATTCCTATATATTGTTCCACTTCTTTATTAAGAATTTGACAATTATTTTAAGAAATGTAATACTATAATTAATAATCCTGTACTAAGTAGCAATTTAATTAATGCCTTTAACTCCCTTTAATTAGCAAATAACCCATATCTTTTCCTGCACTGCACATGTTAAATTGTGTGTCAATCACATAAAGGGAGGCGGCCTCTTTTGTTTACAGACGCCTCTCATTGGATGATATGTGTCACCGGAAACGCCTTAAAGAACATATCCTTCTTGTGATTGGCCAGGATTGACACGGCAACAAACTACGTGCCGGGTGCAAATTGGTGACTCCTCCGGCCCCATAAGGCAGCAGTCTACCAGCTAGCTAGCGCAAACATGCCAGGCATCAAGTAACGGATTGATGTGTGTGTTTGTGCGGTCATCTTTCTGCTTTTTAGCTCTCCTGATAACCGTCGCATACTCCCCCCCCCCCCCCCCCTCCTTTACAACTGTCTTATTTCTTCCGTGATAGTCACACAACAACATAAAACTGAGGTTTCTTTGGTAAAGGTAAGACAGATTTTTTTCTCCCTTGCAAAACCGCGCACCGGCTCATCCAAAATGGCGTCTGCTAGCTAGCTAAGCAAGCTAAAGATAACAACGTCTGACATAAGCTCGCTCGAAGCTAACAGTATAACGGCAACGCTATAGCTTAGGAGCTGGCGGATTTAGCTTAGTTTACCGATGGCTCAGCTGATTCGAGTAGAAAATGGCGTCTCAATATTATCAGCCATGATGGGATGGCTACAAGCACAGCCGACTGGATGTATTATTAGCTGCTAACCACGCTGCCCTGCCCCAATTTACTGCAGAATGGTGCAACGGTACTGTTAGGTTTGCAGGTCCTCTGTCTAAAAAAGCAAACCTACACAGTGCATCTTCGGTTTGGACAGCTATTACACTATTCCAATGTAACGCTAACTGCAAGCCTCTTATCCTCTCATATGGTTACACAACCGACTAAACCGTTTGTATGTTGTTAAAAAAAAACATCCGACCAATATCGTGATGTTAGCTAACTTATGGATTTAGCAAACCCAACTATAGTGAATTGGTAAATGCTAGCGTTAGCCGGTTAGCTGACGTATCTTTTGCTTTTGCTTTATTGCAGCAAATACGAGCACATAATTCTGCGTTTTTGGGCATTTGTTGTCATTGTGCCCAGCGTGCTTATAAATGCTCCAACTAATACTACTAAAGTTGTATTTTGTAACGTGTCGTGTTTGTAATTCCCTTCATGTGTTGCGTAATGATTAGATGTGTCATTAGTGGGGAGGCCTGTAACAAAGATCTGACCACTAAACAGTTTATCACGCTCAGCTGGCTAACTGACATCCTTGGATAATGTTGGATGACGCCTCTTGCCCTCTGTAATGTTGTAGCTACTGTTGTATTCTACCAGTGTGCATTCCCCCCCCCCCCCCCATGCAGTGACTAATTGCCCTCCCTTTTCTCTTCCTCAGCACTGTTCCCCCCATCCCTTCCTATTATTCTTATTCTTTTGAGTATTCTTCATTGTCAAGCCGCCAAAGTGGAGAGTGTGATTGCAGAAGGGGGTGCTTCTCGTTTCAGGTAATAACCCAAAGCTTGAACACAAAATAACAACAAGGGCATCCTTTTTTTATCTCTTCCATGGTTAGCCCTCTGTTAGCGTTTTGGGCAGGAACTTCTGGCCTTTAGAACAAAGCAGGATGTGGGAAGGCTCAAAATGGCTGTCGGGAACCTTTTTTGTAAAGGGGGACACGGTAGACATGATGACCCACGGGAGGATTTCTGAATATTGGTGCTGGCACTCACCCTGTTGACAGTTTAGAGTCCCTGTCAAACCCAGGATTCAGTGTTAAAATGGCTAGATTGAGGCCTGAAATGATCTGGGACACCGTATGTTAGATGCATTCTTCAGCTTAAGGGATTTAAGGTTGCCGTGTTACGTTGCAGCATCTCATTGGGTACCAGTAATATATATTTCCAATATGTTTTTTGGCAGTTGGCAAATTGGTTTATCATTGATCTGTTCAGAAAAAAAATAATGCATTGGAAATAACATCACAAGGCTCACAGATGCCCTGCATATACAAATAATCAGTCCCAGTCACCGCCGATGTGCTTCATTGACTTGGAAATTTGAGTATTAATAGACCGTGATGACACCACAGCAGCAAAGTGTAGAGAGCAACCTGTTCTGCTTTTCTACTGCACCTGCACTGCATGTCGCCCTAGTTTTGGTGCTTCGCATAGTGTTTTGGTCATGGAACCGGCACCAGAAGCAGGGTTAGTAAACGGTGAGAATGGTACAGTAGTTAGTACTTCTTCATCTGTTACTTATTCAGCCTCTCTTTTAAACTCTCAAACCAGAGTTGGTGATTATTGGAGATGTGGAAAGACTTGCAAAGACTGTTTAGATGAGTTTTATTTTGTTTCTGTTGAGTTTGATGATCTGAGAGCTAAAATTACTTTCGTCAGACTCGAGTCTGTTGGCTTTGAGGAGAGTATATTCATTTTGTTTTGTATGTTAATAAATTATGATTGATTATTATATATTAACTTCAACACGCGTCAAATTGAGTCACAGCGAAAAGGGGTGAAAATGAGCGCGTCCACCGGGTGTCGTGTTTCATCACTGCTGATCGGAGCTGGACCCAACACACTGACTACTGCATTAATTTGTCCCGGGAATATATGTAAATTGTAACTTTTCCCACTAAAGACCAAAGCCATGTGTTCATAGGTCTTTTGTCCAGAGTTTGTTATCTTCTAATAGTTTGGATGTACAGTGCATGCTTTTAGGGAAACGTTCAGCAACATAAAGCTCATCCAAAGTGACAAATTTGTGTGCACTAAATAACTCTCAAACTTGGGTTCATCAATAATCCACTCTTTAAAATAATCAACAAAGGCCAATACACTACTGCAGGGCGCAACATGAACGGTGAAGCCTCGGCTGTATCGGTGGAAGATGCCCAGGCTACATGTAGAGTACACTCCCCTGGGCTTTGTTCCACTCAGTTGACTGACTCATGCATTAATGCACACGCCGTCACCTTAGATGTGCGGCTCTCTGGTTGTTCTTTAAGTGAGTGCATTGTCCGTCTTGAAGCTGCGTCTCTGGCTCTCAAACAGCTGACTGTGACAGCCGCATCATGCAATGTTTATACATGATGCTGTTAGCCAGGCCAAGCCATTATTCCTAATTGGTTTTGACTTTCAGTTGGTCAATGGTTTAGTGATAAGCGACAGTTTTAACCTTCGAGTGTTAGGATACATCCATTTGATAAGGGCTTTCTATATCTTTATAGCTGATTGTATTCTTACTTATTTTTGTGGCATTTCAAATGTTAGTTAATCTCACTTGTAAGCTCTTGTTCCCTTGTGAGGTTGAGATTCAGGCACATTCCATGTTTTTGCATGAACCTAATGCGTTTCCTTCCTGTGTTTGGTCCTGCAGTGCTTCTTCGGGGGGGGGAGGTGGTAGGGGCGCACCTCAGCACTATCCCAAGACTGTCGGCAACAGGTTTGTCATTTGGAATTTTTCCAGAGCGCACTTAATGTACAGTGATTTAATTATTAGCATTACGGCACTAGTAGGATTCCCCACTGCAGAAAAAGTGGATGAGACGGCTTTGTTGATTAAAGGGCCCGAATTCCAGGAAACTCTGATTTGAATACCCAGAAGTCCTGCTACTTGAGGTCAGACAGCTGCAGACAGAACATGCATGTTTACCAACTGGGCAGTCTGAGATTATTTTTACCATAAAGGGTAAAGCTAAAGCCGAGCATTGGCAAAAGAGTTCACACTTGTGTGAAACAATATGAGTTTTGTTTTGGCATCGTTATCTACACCTGAATTTAATTTTTAAGTTACTATCAGGAACTTAACTGGTTGAAACATTAATACTGATGCCTCTATATGACCAACATAAGTAAACAAGACCATCAACCTGGTTGGATTCCTGCAAAATCTGACAAAACCATGCAGGTCCACCAGAAACTCGGCTCTGCCTCCGGCAGCGACCAGCCTGGTGCAGACAAACTCGGATCCGGCTTTGCTGCCACCTTCAACCTGCAGTCGTAGCTCCGGCGGTAGGAGGAGAGCTCAGCGCCCGGTAGCGGCGTCTCCTCCAGAACTGCTTTAGGTAGACGGTCAGACCCTCCTGCAGCTGCATGAGAGGGTTTCTAAAGGGACTCTGGTGCTCTCAAATGCTCCTGCTTTTATCCACAGGGTCGCCAAAATCACCTCTAAATAAAAGTTCCGCGTAGCAGCTTGTATGTGGTTCTTTTCTTTCGTTGGACACAAGTTGATAGACCTGGTAGTGCAGCATTTGTAGTATGAGTGTGCAGTCACTTATAAGATGATTATAAAAGGGATTCGATTTTGTGCTAGAACAATAACTATATTGCAAGGTCGGTGTATTTTTCTGAACCAGCCATGATGTCTCCAGGTTCTGTGGTACTCAGTGTCTCTCGCTCTCTGTACTTTAACAGCGAGTTCCTGGGGAAAACCCCAGGGCAAAGCGGTCAGAGATGGGTTCCTTCACGAAGCACTAGACGAGATGTTAACTCCAGCACCGAAAAAGAGCAACACGATGCAATCTTCAGGAAAGTGAGGGGGTAAGATTCAAGTTAATTATCCATCCAGAGGGACAAAAAGCTTCTTTCTTTTTCCTTTTTGGCTCCCTCCTCCTCGACTTTTTAATCCAGACTTACCTGGAAATAGTGAGCAAGAATTTCGATGGCTTCTGGCTCAAGGATTGTTGGCACTTCAATAATTTCACTTCAATTTTAGCAGAGTTTAGAAAACGTTGTATTCAGACAAGACAGTATGAGAACATTGGACATGCAATCATGTAAACATGTTCTAGTAGTATGAACCTTAAAATGATTCTATGTCCCCTTTAAGGAAAATATATAATGTCAGCTTCAGGGACAGTGTGTTGAATCTCCCAGTTCGGCAGTCACTGAGATAGCATGTGCTTTGCTAAAGGCACTTAAGCCCCTTCACCTCCATGTCCGGTGATGTTTCCAAGTAGAAAACACGGAGATGACGGCGTTTCCCGTAGGAGTGTAGGCGAGCAGGTGGCCACCACACGGGGCAGAAGTTAGACCCAGCAGTGTCAACCAAATGTGGCAAAATGATATGTGCATAAAATGCAGTTTTATAAACTGAAATAAAAGAAACTAACAAAAGGTAACCTCTGGATCTCCCTCGTTGCAAACATGCTTTTCTAAATCCCTGATCAGAAAATGAAGGTGTGGAACATAAACTCACACGCTGCTCTGTAAAAACAAAGCCAGTGAAGGAGGAGAAAGCCAATGTGGATAATGAGATTTAGGAAACGAAGCCTGCGGATTAATAAAGCGTTATTAATTGGCTCTGTCACAGCACATGAAATGAAGCTGCAGAATGAGTGCTTAGGCAGTGAACCGTTATTAAGTGGTGGTTTGATTTTTTTGATTTTTTTTTTTTTAAAGTCTACACCTGATACGTAATGCACTATAAAACAATCATTTAGTGAGTTTGACTTAATAACTTCAAACAAACGCCAAGCTTCAAACCAGCAGTCTCTATTCTTGGTGTCGCGTCAGACGGCTGGATCGTTCCGCTGATTCCAAAGAGACTTTAGCTTTCTGTCACAAAGATCTCTATATGATCAGTCCTGTAGAATTAAGTCAACATGATATTAGCCCTCACTTTTGAATATCATGGATATTGAGATTAGGGTGTTGAATTGACTTAAGTAGAGCACAAAAACATTATTACTTAATACTAAGTTAAGTCAACTATTCTGTTTTGCAGGTGCAATTGTTCCGCTTCAGACCTGGGGTCTGTGTGAAATCTTATTGAAGGATATTTGTGAAAGCAGTCTGGTGTAAGTGGGCTGGATGCAGGTGTTATTTTATGGAAGTTGTGGTGTTTGTCTGTAAAGTGTCAGCCTCCAGGTGAAAGAGTAGGGGCTGATACAAAATAGGGATGCTAATGTTAGCACTTTATCGCTACTAATATTATTCCATTACTAAATAATCACTTTTTAACTTCCTATGTAAAAGAAGAACAAATTCACAACAGGATTAAAATGTATTTATATTTTAATATAACAGCAAAGTCACAATATAAACTCTATAATATCTCACTGGAAACAAATGTTCCCGAGTGAAGTTTAGACACCAGTCCTACTAAACATGGTAAAACCCCTTCTTGATATTATTACGTCATGCTAACATCTTCTTCTCATCTTTTTTTCTAGCATACTCAACAAACTCACGCCTGACAAGTTTGACAAGCTATGCCTTGAGCTCCTGAACGTGGGCGTAGACTCAAAACTCGTCCTTAAAGGAATCATCTTGCTGGTAAGGGAACGTTTTTATCCTCGGGTCCTCTGCTAAATCCGAAATGTGTTCGTCCATCTTCTCGCCAGGCTGCTGTTTTTGATGACCCGAGTGGTTCCCTCTCGGCTTTCTCCCCCCTCTCTCCTCCCCCGCTGCGGTTCAGATTGTAGACAAAGCCCTAGAAGAGCCCAAGTATAGCTCGCTCTATGCCCAGCTATGTCTGCGCTTGGCAGAGGACGCACCAAACTTTGACGGCCCTTCATCTGAGATCCAAACATCCCAAAAGCAGAGCACAGTAAGTGTGGCTGAGGGCATTTGTCCCCCTTTATAACACTGCTGCTGCCTCCATCAAAGCTCAGGGTTTTTCTTCATGTCATTGTTTATAACTCTCTGAAACTCATTTCTTTTAATCTATGCTTCTGTGGACATTATCGGATATTATTCTAACCAATGGATTGTTGTTATAGACCTTCAGGAGACTGCTCATTTCCAAACTTCAAGATGAATTTGAAAACCGCGCCAGAAATGTTGAAAGTAAGTTCTTGTGAGACATTCAGTAATTTATTAGTTTAGCTCCTGTCCTCACAGCATGTCCACTAAACCTCCGTTTGTCCTCTCACCTCAGTCTATGACAAACATGACAACCCTCTTACTTCTGAGGAGGAGGAGCAGCGTTCCATTGCCAAGAGCAAGATGCTTGGCAACATTAAATTCATCGGGGAACTTGGCAAACTCGACCTCATCCACGAATCTATCCTTCATAAGTGCATCAAAACAGTATGTTGATTTTTGTGTGCGTTTGAAAGAAGCTTTTAATCTTTGTGTTAAGAGTGCACGTCAAGGGTTCCAATGAAAAGAAATACTGCATATCTTCATGAAACCAGACCAGAGTACCTTGTATGACCCTCCTGCATTCCTTCTCTCCTCAATGTTTTTCTGAAGCTTCTGGAAAAGAAGAAGAGAGTCCAGCTCAAGGATATGGGGGAGGATCTGGAGTGCCTCTGTCAGATAATGAGAACTGTGGGGCCGAGACTCGACCATGAGAAAGCAAAGGTAACGGCTCCAGCCTTCCATGTCGTGAAGATGCACCTTACAGTCATGTATTGGTAAAAATGTGTATGAACCCAGAAAGAGAGCCAGTTATGCTTTTGCATGCAGAAGTCAAAGCTTTAGTAAAGTTTACAAAATGACCAGTGCGGTAAAAGCAAACCAGACATTTTACATCCTGGTTTCTGTGCCTCTGTGGTCCTGCCTGGGTGGACTGTGTCATCTCAGGTCGTGGCTAAGCTCACCTAAAGCCCCACTTGGCTCAGAGCCGGTGCTAACGTAAATCCCGCTGCCACGCTGTACTCTGCCGGTCCTCACTCTCTCCGTCCTCTTTTCTCCAGTCTTTAATGGATCAGTATTTTGGCCGTATGCTATCCTTAATGAACAACAAGGAGTTGCCCGCCAGGATCCGCTTCCTGCTGCAAGACACAATGGAATTGCGAGAAAACAACTGGATCCCCCGCAAGGCTTTCATCGACAACGGACCAAAGACGATTCACCAGATCCGTCAGGAGGCAGTGAAAGTGAGTCCGGTGAAGTCACCGTGCTCGTTGTTTGGATGGCCCATATTTTGGGATGATTGATAGTTAATGCCCAACATCAGAAGCAGAGGTTGAGACTTGTGTGTTAACCTATTGTATGCGAGTCAGTAAGACGTGACGATGAGTTTCTAGCTTGATAACAAACTTGAGTTAATGTTAAAAATTAAAGTTCAGTTCTGGGATTGACTTGTAATCAAGTCATTGGACAATTTAACGACGCCAGCTGTTCTTCTGCGTTTCTGTAGGATTTGGGTGTTTTCATCCCAGCACCCATGTCTCAGGGGATGAGGATGGACTTCTTCCTGGAAAGCCCCTTCATGCCCAACAGAATGAAACTGGACAGGGAGACTCTCGGGGGATTGGCCGATATGTTTGGGCAGATGCCAGGTACGGCCTTTATTTGGTGTGTTGACTTGTGTAGTGTCATCTCATCATGTGTTTGTTTCCTTTTTAATTTTGTGTTCAAGGACAGTCAGAAATCAAATGATGTCTGTTTTTACAGCTTTTTCTGTCATTGTTTTTAAAAGAGAACTTGCTTTTCTAACCTGCCAGCATGTTTTGAGGTTTGCAGCATTAATTTACCTCAAGAACAATCCATTTTCAAGTTGTGGTGCGCAAAAGTGATGCAAAATGGTTTGATCAGGTTTTATTATGATTACCTCGAGGTGGTCAGTTCATATAATACTCCAATAATCTCACTCCTCTGAGTTAAACCTCTACTAACATCTTCTTTGGACTTTGTTCACTCAGGCAGTGGGATTGGAACCGGCCCGGGAGTTATTCAGGACAGGTACTCGCCCACTATGGGACGCCATCGCACCAACCCGCTCTTCAACGGCCATGGTGGCCACATCGCCCCCCAACCACAGGCACAGTTCGAAGTGGGGCCAAAGTCTTTCGTTAAGTCCAACCAGGTAATACTTAGCAAGCGTTAATATCCTGAGGTTTAAAGCGACCCACTAATGCCCATTGGACTTTCCACAGGTTCAGAACCAGCACTACCAGAACCACATGGCCCAGCAGCAGGTCCAGTCCAAGGACATGCCTCCACGATTCAGCAAGAAAGGACAGCTCAATACAGATGAGGTGACTAGAATTAGCTTCAGCTTTAGCTGGCTTGCAGGAGATAGACAAAAACACAACGGTTGTTTTGTTGTGAAGTGTACTCAACGATATCTGAGCTGAAAGCTTATTATTGTTGTTACGGTATCATCACACTAACATCAATGGCTGTATTGTGAAGTCCTGCCTGTCGGTGTTTAAGTCTTCATGCCCAGTGATTATAAAAAGACGCGTTATTCTGAGGAACACAGCCTGCTGCCAGTCCATCTTCTACCTTGTCCTCTGTCTTTGATCTCCATCTTTCTCATCCTTCCTCCTCCTCAAGCTGGTAGCTGGTCCGCTGACTGCGATTATGAGATATGAGGGCATGGGTGTAGTTGATGATCAGATTATAAATGAAAATGTCAGCCCAACTGATCCTAATTAGTTTTTTGTGTTTGACACTTGCTGGTCCCACAGATCAGCCTCAGGCCTGCTCAGTCATTCCTCCTCATCAAGAACCAGGCACCCAAGCTCCAGCCCCAGATCCCCACCATGATGCCCCCCAGCGCCCAGCCCCCACGCACTCAAACCCCTCCCCTGGGACAGGTAAGAGACGGTCCCCACGCGCAGATTACTTTCACTTGCACAAACCTAGATGGAACACAATTTAACGAATAGAGAAAAACAAGTGTTAAAGAAAATGTTTTGAGATGTATGTGAAAGGCAGAACGAATCCTAGCCAAACCAATCATCATCAACTGCTTCCAGTAGATCCCTAAAATCCAACAGATCCTTCAAAAGGGTGGCGGAACCAATAACACTCGTATTTTGTTCCCGGTGGGGATGCTCAGCAGAGGATCCACCGGCTGCTCGCTAGCTGGACGACATGGGGAAGTGCAAATTCAACGAAAATAAGCCATTAAGCAAATGTTTGGCAGTGTGGTTGAAACGACTACAAGGCGATGCGATGCATATGGGGCTCGTGTATTTTATGCAAAAAGTTTTACAAACTCGGCATGTTTATTGACAAATTGGTCATATATGGCATTCAAAAAGTCTTGGATCTAACTTGCTTACAGCTGCAGGAACTCTGATAAAATGTTATGGTTTCTTCATGGAACCCCATCTGTAATAATCACATGACCTTTCACCTCAGCCTCCACAACTTGGGCTGAAGACCAACCCTCCGCCCATTCAAGAGAAACCTCAGAAGACGAACAAGAAGCCGCCTCCTTCCAAGGAGGAGCTGCTCAAAATGACGGTAAAATAAAAATCGTACATCTTTCTAGAGCTGCTGCAATATGTCAGAAATAATATAAAGTTACCACAAAGTTAGTCTGTTTATCTTTTAAAGGTAGCTCTTCTGTGTTGCGATTGGTCCACGACGAGAGCACAAATCATTTGTCACATTTGTTGGTCGGACTGTCCACCGCTCATTTTCTGTGCGCTCAAATGTCCACTTCCAGGAGGCGATCGTGACCGAGTACTTTAACAGTAAGAAGCTGACTGAGGCTGTGAGCGGCACAAGAGAGATGAAGGCGCCCAAGCACTTCCTGCCGGAGATGCTGAGCAAGATCATCGTGTGCTCCCTGGACCGTCCTGATGAGGACAAGGAGCACGCTAGCACTCTGATCCACACGCTTCGCACTGAGGGCCTCATCACTGGAGAGAACTTCATGCAGGTAGAGGGATCTGTTCCTTTTTAGACCAGACACAAACCAGACTGACGCGTACTGATGAGAGACCACTTAATGCTGTGGTGCTTCCTCTTCTACAGGCTTTCCTCAACGTCCTGGACCAGTGCCCTAAGATCGAGCTGGACGTACCCCTGGTAAAGTCCTACCTGGCCCAGTTCGCGGCCCGGGCCATCATCGCAGAGCTGGTGAGCGTGGCGGAGCTGGCTCACCCCCTGGAGAACGGCACTCACTTCCCCCTCTTCCTGCTTTGCCTGCAACAGACGGCCAAGCTGAAGGACCGAGAGTGGCTCACAGACCTCTTCCAGCAGAGCAAGGTCAACATGCAGAAGATGCTCCCAGGTACTTGTTCCTGCTGCATTAATATCTAACGCCTTCCCCTGACCCACCATGGCAGGACCTGGTGGGATTAGAACTGTGACCGCTAATAGCCCTGTTAGCCGCTAGCCACAGACCTCCCCGCTGAATACCTGACTTGTTCCCGGCAGAAATCGATCAGAACAAGGACCGCATGCTGGAGATCCTGGAGGGTAAAGGCCTGAGCTTCCTGTTCCCGCTGCTGAAGCTGGAGAAGGAGCTGCTGAAACAGATAAAGGCAGACCCCTCTCCACAGTCCATCTACAAGTGGATTAAGGACAACATCTCGCCCAAGCTTCACACCGACAAAGGCTTTGTCAACATCCTCATGACCAGGTAGACAGACAGCAAAGTGAACTTTGAAGCTCAGTGAAGTTTATCAAAGTTAACATCTAAGTATAAGAACAGTGAAAGTGGTCTGTGCATCACAATTTTCATACGCAAAGTAATGCAATTGACAATATTCGTACTTACTAAATATACACAAGACTGTTATATTTGATGAGATGTCCTCTGATCTTCTCCCAGTTTCCTCCAGTACATCTCCCAGGAGCTGTGCACGACGGAGGGCGATGAGCAGCTGGCGGCCCCCCCCAAAGAGCAGCTGGAGCAGGAGAAACAGCTGCTGCTGGCCTTCAAGCCCGTCATGCAGAAGTTCCTGCACGACCACACCGAGCTGCAGGTCAGCGCCCTCTACGCCTTGCAGGTGCACTGCAACGCCAGCGCGTTCCCTAAAGGTACAGCACCTCCAAGTCCTGGGCAGTCCACCAGAGCACAACCGATATCGACAATAACATTTTGCAAATATATTGGTATCGGTGTACATAGAACGGTCACTAGAAATTTCATGAATAAAATGCCCCAATTATTTTGAGTTGGGTTAACCAGAAGGTTAAGAAAATTCAATAATGCTTTTTCTTTTTAATTCTTTCCATGTAGGCATGCTGCTGCGCTACTTTGTCAACTTCTACGACATGGAGATCATTGAAGAAGAAGCCTTCCTTGCATGGAAAGAAGACATCACCCAAGAATTCCCGGGGAAAGGAAAATCTTTATTCCAGGTAATGTTTTCACCGACCGAATATCCTCAGCTACTCATGAACGTCGTGCGCACACACTCGAGCGCTGACGTGATGTTTCTCTCCGTCAGGTCAACCAGTGGCTCACCTGGCTGGAGACGGCTGAGGAGGAGGAGTCAGAGGAAGAAGCAGATTGAGAAACCGAGAGGAAGCATCATGGCGTAGAAGATCAACCGTTATCTTTATTAGTACACTCGCCTTTCATTTATTTAACTCCAATCTTCATTTAACCACTACCACGGGGCACTTGGCTGCTTCTGTCGTGCAAATATAAACCGAAAAGCTTGTACCTGTAGGGCCTCGTGCGTTACCAGCCGTGACCGTCGATGGGCTGAGAAGCCTCATTTGATCTGTTGCCTGATGGATGTTTGATTTTTGGATCTGTGTCCCGATCAGCTACATGAATTTCTGGGGTGGCTCAACCATGTGTTTTATTTTATTCTTCTAAACTCTTGACTGAAGTTTGTAACTTTTTTTTTTTTCCACTGTTTTGCATGTTTTTCATTTCCATCACTTTATTGTCCTGATTCGAGACTTCCCGAGTAGCCAAGAGCTTTATTTAAGAATGTGCAGGATTTCCCCTTGAATATAGCAAATTAGTCCTAATAGCTAAAGCTGTTAACAAAAGGACCCGTCAGTGACCCGCTGTGTGATCTTCTGTAAGGGCACAACGATGAGAGCGAAGCATAAGCTGGCAAAACGTTTCAAAGATGAACTGAGGTGCGTGTTTAGTCAACACATGCTTACTAAAAACAACTGTTCTTTTTCAATAAAAGTGCTCTTCGTAGTCGCTGATGATGAGCATCTTCCCTCGTTTTCTTTTTTGTGATTCCTCTTTGTCATTGTCCATCTTTTATTACATGAGTGGTTGCAATACTCCTGATCCTCCTGATGTTGCAATATGTTTTTAAGGAAGTTGTAGTCATTGGTGTGCCACCGTAACCTTTCAAAGGTGCCTGTGTTTCTACCTCTTCGATGGGCTTTTGTTGTGCTAGAATAATGAAATCTACTAAAGAGAACCGATAGCCCAAGCACATGCTGAAGTATTTGATTCAGTCCTGGCCTAATGGCACAATAAATGTATTGAAGCTTCACGTGGTTTACAAGTATTAACATTGAAGCAGGAAGAGAAACGGCTTGTTTTTTTATTAATCCGACAGCGTCCTCTTTGAGACACGGCCCTGTTTAACAGAGTTTCATTTCGCCCACAGTTTAACCTTTTTATGTAGGTTGTAATTGACCCCCCCCCCCCCCCCCCTTCACTACGATAAATAACCGTTAAATAAGTAAAGGACTTTTACCCAAGAGTTGTGCCGACAAGCCATGTTTATGTATGAAGGCGATGGGTTTGGATCATATTGTACGGTATTCAAAATTATTGTGCACCTCCTACTGCTTTAATGTCAATAAAGTCCAGTACATGAGCACCAAAACTAGTTTTCACTTTTATTTATGTTATAAACTCCCCGTTAAAAGGCTTCACTCAAGAGAACAATGTGATTCTGTTCTTACTCTGCTGGTTAGACCTTAAGGAGTTTCTCCAAACCTTGGATTATACATTTGAACAGTTATGTCGTACAAAGTGTTTAGAAAGGTACAGACTTATCTTTGGCATTATGAGTAATGCATTTTAAATTCAGAGCATTAATTGCATCAAACTAATCTGTTGTGATTTAGTGGAGTCATTTCTACCGGAGTAGAGAATGACGTTGCGTGTTATCTGAGCTTCTGTTTACATATGTGGGCTGGCCGTGCATGCTTTCAATGCCGTCAATGTGAGCATCGCACACATTTAATGCGTAAGCACTGTTCTTGTAAGCACTGTTAGCTGCTGGCCCAGCTGTCACCATGTTGACAATCCCCCAATCATAGATATGCTCTGAATTTAGACTTCAGCACCTTGAAATGCCAACAAAAATAGTTTGTACTTAAGTTTAATATTCAAATCAGTTTTTAGATGCTCGTTTGAGTCAGTCACGGGTACAAATACATACTGTGCGTATCCATCTTCAGCTTTAAGTAACACTTGTAGAAAGGAACTCATGACAGGAATAGAAGTAGTTGTGGGGTCAAAATAGGGACTATTGATATGAAGCTGATATGAATTTAATAAATGTACGAAGTACAGTTTGAGATGTATGAAAACTAAATAAATATTCAGGCTGTATGGTGGTTGACTTCAGGCTTTCAAATGTCCAAAGCTCCAGGAGTTTGTGTCTTTTTTCCCCCCCAACAACAATCATTTCAATGCAAAGCAGGTTCCGCCCTTCTGCCGCGATGGCAAAACGTTAATCGTGGACTATTCCTGGTCTGTGGGGATCCAGAAGTATTCCACCACCTTCCTGCTCCTGCGTGGAGGTGCGGAGTCCGGTCGCTCTCCTCCGAAGGCGGCCAGCTCGTCGAAGTGACTCGGGCCCGGATCCCTGCCCGTGTGTGGGGCGGAGACTTTGAACATGGTCCTGAGGATTCAGTTAAAAGCCAGTGAGTGATTGTACATTTCAAATGCAACAGATCCCTCTCAAGGGGGGAATCCTTTAAATTGACCTTTCACCTTTCTGATCAGGTTTTTCTGTCCACACACACACACACACACCCCTCCATGAACTGAGGCCTTTGTTTTTCCATCCATAAAACCATTTGGGTAATACTGCATTGTCTTCGTTGATATACAAGATTTCCATGTGTTGGTGAAATGAGCTGTTTTTAGGGCCCTCTGGTGGTCATGGTGTTACCTGGATGAACTCCTTTCCGCCTCTTCGGGACCAGATTCAGGGGTGGAGATGTACACGGGGTCACCTTCCTGAACAAAAAAGATAATTTAACACTTTCACATGTGTATTTTATATGTTAACATTATTCAACAACATCTGTAGTCAACTCACCGTAAAATTTCTCGGGGTGCCGTCTTGATTTTTGAGAATTTTAACCCTCTGGTTGCTTTCTGTCATGCAGAGGAAGTAACTCTTGATGTTGGCTTGACACTGTTGGGGAAAACAAACGTAAAATGTACCTTACATTTTTTTTATCCTATGGATCACTCCCCGCTGAGAGGCCCATCCCTCTCGTCTCTAGCGTGTGATCGGTGGCGCTGTCGTGGATGCCCTCTTACTGCTTTGTTCTGCCTCAGGGCCTTCAGGTCCTCCTGACCTCTGACCCCGTCGGCTAACTCCCGGTGCTTCTCCCTCCAGCCCAGACACTCAGCCGTCCTCTCCTGCCTCTCCTTCTCAGCCAGGCGCCTCTCGGCCTCGGCCTCCCGCTGAGCCTGGTTGGCCTTCCCGCCCTCCTCCTCCGCCGCCGCCGCCCTGCGCCTCGAATTCACCTCACTGTGAACACAAGACTTGAACTTACACCCCCAAAATATCTCAATTTTTCTCACTGCAGGAGCACACTCTTGACTGCGCCCCTTTTTTTATTGGCCTTTCGACTTCTATTTTGCAAAGAAAACTTGTGTTTTGAAACTGCTTTGTGCGTCGTGACAGAAATTAAAATGACAATCAGTCATTTTAAAGATCCCGCGGATACAAAAACAAAATGATCAGCACATAAATCACAGCAACAAGTGATTATAGGAGGACACTTAAACCTCTTTATCTATAGTAACCAAGCACAGCAGGAGTTAGGAATTTGCCCCTTTGAAGAATCACCTTAGCTCACTGACCAAAGTGAGCTAAATGAAGGTGAGGAAGAGTAGTTTCTTTTTGAACTTTTAAGGGAGTGTTTGAAATCCACCATTGATCTCGTGAAACGTCTTGGAATGAAAGAGCCCTTCTCTTCTCTGACATTCATTGTTATCATATATTATTATCTCTTCTTCACGTGTCGCTTCCCCCCTCTCCTCTGCTTTCCTCTCAGCTCCTCCGTCCTCCAGTCGAGCTCTCCATTGTGAAAGGTCGAGGCACTGACTGACCTCATTCATCATTCCAGCGGAAATGTTTTTTGTTTTCTTTGTCACAGATGATTTTTAATCATGTTGACAGTCTGTCTCCGATCGAAGATTCATTCTGGACATTTGCCTTGGGCACCGAGTTTAATTTAACCCCGAAAAATAACACGAAAAATGTTGGAAATAAAACCGTGGCGCTCTGGATCAAACTGAAGCAGAGGTCAAAATGATAACTCTTAACTTTTAGCAGCGCCAACTGCTTTGATGCTTCGAGTTTGGCGGCGAATATGGTTTAGGTTAGATGTGGAGCAATTCATCCGAGCTGCTGTTCTTCTTCTCCTGCTGCAATTTATGTTCCCGGCTTTACACTCAGCAGGAGGTAAAAAAACAAAATCCTTTCTAGTTGTTGAAAGATTAGAGCTTAAACGGAGCTAAAGTACTCATACATTTAATGTTGTCAAATTCAAGGCGAATTTTTTTTTTTTTTTATACAAAACTTTCTGCCTATAGTGCAGCTTTAATGTCCCAAAAATGTACGTTGGGTTCACAGCCAGGTGTGGGTGAAACAGACCCACCTCTGTTGGATCTGGACGTTCTCCTCTGTGATCTGTCTCAGCTTGTGTCGGAGGTCGTCTCTGTCCCCCTCCAGGCTCCCGTTCTCCCGCAGCAGGGCCTGTTTCTCCCCCGACACCCGGTCCAGCTTCAGCTTGGTTTCAAAGTAACTCTTCTCTGCTTGTGCAAGTGAAAGCTGCAGGTCTGTGTGCTGCAGAGGGGACAGGCAGGAATCAATGTCACGGGTCAGAATTGAGTCGATTCGGTCCACCGGTAATGTTACATCCTGTTTGTGCTCCAGCTGATTGACGGATATTAATGCTGATCACTAAAAATCCAACATCCAAATCTGGTGGAAATTAAGACTATTAGCCTTCATTTCTGTTTGTTTATCAAGTGTTTCCTCTCATCCCATGATCTGGAGAAAGTACTGGGTTTCTCACTGGCAGCAAAAAGAGAGACCACACCCCTCTGTCCCGTCATTAACCGGCTTCAAGTGTGGCGTAGAATCATTTTTTAAAATCTCACTTTTTGTTTTTAAGAATTCAAATCCATGTGTCTCATCTACGTCGTCTGACCTAAAGATGGTGTCACACTTGTGATGTACAAACGGGGTTTCCCTTTGCGTTTGAGGCTCCTTGATTGTGAAGAGTGAGTGCCGCCACAACTGGAACCTTTTCATCTGTTGGGCTTTAGGATCTGCGCAATCACCTGTTGTGCCCCTTTGCGGGGTCTATATGTCCAACCTGATCACATGGGAGATCATATAAATAGAATTATTAAGTGACACGTCCACTTAATTCGTTTTACTTTCGGCATTTTAAGTCTTTGCTTGGAGGCTTTAAACCAGTAAATATTCAAATTTGAGTCCTGTTGTGTGTGGATTACACTGCAGCTCTAAATAACTGGAGCACCTTGAAGAGCCAGTGACCCATGGGGGAAGGAAATCAGAGAAATAAGTGGAAAACGCGCCTGAAATTTGACCTTTGATCCGTCTGCCACCGTTAGCTTGAGGACAAGTGTCACGATGATGCATTTCAGGCTTTTCACGTGTCATTTTACGCCCCGTCGTTACTGTGAAGCGGTTCTATTTAGGAACAACGTCACGGTCAACAACACACATTTCACTTTAACAGCTATACATACGAAAAGTAAAACACTATCATTTGTATATGTCCTCACTTAAATAACTTTACCTCCAAACCACAGCCTTTCCCAAGTCGTTTTGTTTTCTTAAACACAGCAGATGGAAAATGCACAAAAAATAACTTTTGAAGATATCATATGATCCGCTGTACGAGGATACGGCCTTAAAGCACTGATGTATTTTTAAAAGTGTTTGGAACACCAGTGGAGCTCTGTAACACGGAGGAAAACCTTTCAATGCTATCTATCAATTGTTGGTTTTCATTTGATTTTGTTGACAATAAGAATATATTTTATAACCAGCCTCACGATTCAAGAAAACTTTTCATGACATTTTTGATTACTAACATTATGTCTTATGACTTTTAGTCTTTTATTTTCAGGCCCATATGTTTTGCTTGCAGTTGCTGAATTGGCATTCAACCCATGGCTCCTCTGTCCTACAACTACTGTATAATTGCTTGACGCTAACTGCCAACATTTGGGATGAAGTTACATTCAGCGTAACGTCCCACCCTGACGGAGTCATGATGGATCACCCAAGGAGAGCATCACATGTTGTGCTCTGCATGTAGTTCCACTAATTGCGGCCTCCATTCATCCCCGCTCTGTCGCTAACAAGTCGTATAAATGTGAGCGTGCGGGTCAGCTGACTGTGTCCACCTCTTTCTTAAGATGCTGCAGTTCTTCACTCAGGCGGCTCCTGTCGGCCTCTGCTGTCCCCTTGTCCCGCTGACAGCTGAGGGCCCGAGCCTCAGCCAGGGCCCTGCTCCTCTCCGCCTCCCCTCTGGACTCCTCCGCCTCGTCTGCAGCCCGCGAGCACAGAGTCGCCCTCTGCTGGCTCAAGTACAG